CGCAGGGCGGCCCGCCCCCGGTGTCCTGTGCCCTCGGTGTCCTCTGTCCCCGGTGTCCTCTGCCCCGAGTGTCCAATGCCATGTACATCCTTTGTCCCTGCCGCCCCATGCCCCGGGTGTCCTGTGCCCCGAGTGTCCTCTTCCTTGCGTGCCCTGTGCCCCAGGTGTCTTCTCTGAAATTCAGTTTATCATTAGAATTTTAAAACGCATTTGATTTTTCTCCTTCCACACCTCATCCCATCTCTGGGCTGCTTTGGTTTGCTACTGTCAACCATGGCACAACCTTCTAGAAATTACTGTGTGTTGCCTTTCAGTGCCTTCATTAAAATGCATCCCTGCCAGGGAGCTCTTTATCTGTATTATACATATTAATAAGGATGAGTAGCAATAATTAAGGGATGACTAATATGTTCGTGAGTGAAAGTATCCAGCATGGGCTGGAATTCGTAGGTAAATACATTATATATGTTATTAAAAATCTTGAAGGTAATAATTAAAATTTCCTGAGATATAATAATTTAAAATAATATTTGCTGCCCTTTTACAGTTATAGCAGACAGGACACTTTTCAATGCTGTGCTCCCTTGTGGCAAGAAGCTCAGTTTGGGTGGAGCTGTGGGAGGAGGTGCTGCTGCCCTGGGTGGCTTCAGCTGTCCCGGGGGATGTGCCCGAGTCCTTGTGGCCGTCCCAAACCCTGTGACAGGGAGAAGGTCGGTGCTGGACCAGGGACACCCCCAGGAGCAGCGGGCAGAGATGCTCTGCCTGATCAAAGGCAGCACTCAGGGGCAGCACAGACACTGCAGAGTCACCACTGCCAGGGCCTGCCAGCCCTCCAAAGGAACAATTCCCAATTCCCAATCTCCCATCCATGGCTGCCCTCTGGCAGTGGGAACCATTCCCTGTGTGCTGTCCCTCCATCCCTGTCCCCAGCCCCTCTGCAGCTCTCCTGGAGCCCCTGCAGGCCCTGCCAGGGCTCTGAGCTCTCCCTGGATCCTTCTCCTCTCCAGGTGAGCACCCCCAGGTGTCCCAGCCTGGCTCCAGCCCTGCAGCAGCACCGGGGCCTCCTCTGGACTGAGCCATGACATTTAACAAAACCACTGATGCAGACATGTTATGGGGGCTGATACAGCCACAAGAGGTTCCTGATGGAGCCCATGCATTAATCCAGCAGCTGCTGCACCATTCAGGCTGCTTTGGGGCATTTCTGGGGATGGCTGTTGCTCACTTCAGTTCTCCCCTCCTTCCCTGGCGTAGCCAGAGCTCTTTTCTCCCAACACTTTGAGAAACTTGTGAAGAGCTGAGGAGGAGACAGAGTCACTGTGCAGCTTTACAGAGATCTTTTGCATTTCCTGTGGGATATCATGTGAATTTTTGTGCTCTCTGTGGTGCAGGTGATAAGGGGGAAGGAAGGAGTGGTGACAGAAATCCATGTAAAGCAGAATACATTTGAAGTCTGGATTTCAGATGGTTGGTGGTGGTGCTCAGCTTTCTGGAGGAGGAATTGCAGATGCAAACACTTTGGATATGTGTTTGAAGTGAGATTTGGGCTCCCTGGTGTTTCTGGGCTCCTTTTAAACTTGACCCATATAATTTCCCTGGATTCATGAGATTTTTGAGTTCTCTGTTCTGTGAATGTATCAGTGACTCTTGTCCAATTATATTTTCATGCTTATTTTATTTTCCATAATTGTTAGGCTTCCATAGGAGACATCATCTCTGAATCACTGGTGTTACATAGCAATTTCATTATATGTGATTTTAATGTGCAGATTTTCTATAAATACCATTTGCTGTTAGTTTCTTGGCCTATATTGTGGTGGCTTTGGCAGTGCTGGTTTAACAGTTGGGCTTGATGACCTCAAAGCTCTTTTCCAGCCTAAATGATTCACTGATTCTTTATTATTTTGCAGGTTTTCCAGTAGATAGAATCAGTGTCACAGGCAGAACTTGCTGTATGTAACAACAGGCGTTTTCACTCAGGCTTAGAAGAGTAATTTAATTTCATTCTCATGCAAGTTAAATGCTGTTTGCTCAGATTAAAGGAGAAAGAAACAGCCCCCACATCTCTGAGTGCCTGTTTATCCCAGAGAGAAGGCGTCAGCCACCAGTTTGTACCGGGAGGCAGCCTGGGATAAATAACAAATCCTCTAATTAAGAGCCAACAGATCCTAATTGACTTATGTTAGTCCTCCAGCTGGGCTCAGCCTTGCTGTCCTGTCATGGCATGGAGCATCCTTTGTTTCAGGCACCCTGAGGTAGGCAACCCCAGCCCCTGTGAGAGGCTGCAGCCTTGGGTAGTGTTTGAAGTTGTTATTTCAGGAGCTTATTTTAGCCACTCCTGAGCTGAGCATTGAGACTATATAGAGCAGCATTTAGGGAAAACGTTCATGTGGTGGTGGCTTCCTTTACCATGAGCTGCAGCCCTGCCAGCCAAGCTGAGCTGTGCCATTTAAGGAACACTGAAGCTTTGAGAGAAGCTTAAACTTAGAAACTTTGCTGGAGTGCACCGGATGCTGGGGGAAACCAGAACACACTTTTTGGATTGTCACACCAAAGGCAGGAGGGTTCCCACAGAGCCCTCCTCCTTGTGGAGCTTCTGTTTCATATTTAGATTTTATTTTTTAGTGCCCAAAGAGCTTTTAGTTGGGTTCTGACCATGGTGGCCTGGAAATTGGGCTAAATTAAAGCAGGGTTTTTTGTTTACTTAGAAGTTCTAACAGACTTGGACAGTCCTGCAGCGTTTTTCAGGACTTACATCATTCTAAAATAGATTTGACTCAAAACAAACTTGATAAGAAAGTAATTCTATCTTGATGTGTGTGAGAATCTCACTTGTTTGCATCTACCCCAAAGGAAGAGCTGAGCCTGGGCGGGTGTGCTGAGGGAGAGTCTGGATTTGATATGAAATATTAAGAAGTTTATTTCTTTTGGTTGCTGGAAGATCCAAGAGAACACAAGGAGTTAAATGAAGTAGTTGGAAGATACAGGAGAAGGTGGGAGCCTGACCCTCAGTAAGTAAATGCCATTCCCACTGAGGGTTTTATCAGATGCTCCCACACTACTCAGCTTCTTATTTTGGGTGCTTTGAGGTTTTATGAATCCCCAGACAGAGATCCAGGGATGTCTTCCCCAGCTGTGCCAAAAGATGAGGGTGATCCATTGAGTCATGGAAGTTTCATGCACTATTTGTTCATCACAGCTGTATGAGACAGCAGCTGTATTACAACACCTCTAAAAAATTATGTATTAGCATCAAACCCTTAGCCACAGTTATTTTCCACATCATTTACCAGTATCACAGTATTTTAAGCTCCAGTTTAGCCTTCTCTGCTTCTCAGCTTGCTGCCACAAAGAGCTGACAATCCCAAGAATAATCCCATAATAACTCCAATTGTGGAACCACAGCTGATTTGGAGAAGACAAACAATGTGTCCTCTTGCTTCCATCCCTGAGAAATGTGAGTTTCTGGTTTGCCTTACTCCTGCAAAAAGTGCACAGAGCAAAAAGAGAAGAATTATCTTAGGGGAACAGAATTATCTTCTGATTAAAGCATAATTAATGTGTACATAACTAACAGTGTGTACAGAATTAACAGGGTGTACAATTCCCTGTTGCAGGGCCAGTCTGTCCTAAATTGCACTGGTGAGAACTGTAAAGAACAGAATTTTATTCTGAGAATGCAGGTAAGTGGTGATGATAGCCAAATTAGAAGAAAAGTTACTTTCATGGGCCCAGACCTGTTGGTTTCAGCTGCCAGGTATGTGAAACCTCTGAGCAGCTGCTCTTGTACAGTTTGAAATGCAACAACTGTGTGAAGATCTGCTGCTCCCTGCTTCAAAGGCCTGACCAAGAGTGTCCTGAGGTAATCCAAAGCTCTTTGTGGGGGAGAGGAGCTGCAGATTCAGCTGCAAACTCCAGGAAAGCGCTGATGGATTTATTCCCCTGTGCAAACCCCTGGCACCGAGCGCTGACACCAAAGCCTCAGGCTGTGCCCGA